GTCTTCAGGCACCGCAGAGCCGCTAATTTGGCCGCCATTTTGAATTCATCTGACACTTCTCGCTAGATGTCCCGTCCCGATTTAGCGCACACTCCAATGAAAATTATGCTGCACGGTTCCTGTTCAAGTAAAACAATGTCATTTCAATATTCTACACRGATATAATMATTTCCCTAATCGCAAAATCTTTGCAAAGCTAATCTACTTTTAAGTCAAACCGGGCTTCCTGTCCCTTCAAACCGCATATAAATGCTAAACTTTGCGCGATACGTCATAACTGTGTTACAGTAGTGCACAGGGGTAGACATCAGTGTTTGGGGTCCGTTTATTTTCTGCCTAACATGGGACGGGTCACCTTACCGTCACCTTCTTGCATGTCTTTTTTTTTCTTTCTTCTTTTTTTTACCTTTTTGTTTGCTGTTATTATGGGTTTTATAACATTTTTATTATCAGTTTTTAAGTGAAAAAATTTCGATGGTCCATTTGTGCCGCCTGTCAATTGACTCGTTTTGCATCGAAAGAACGCAAACCTTAGTCTTTGTATGGTTTCCGATCGTTTCGAATTGCAAGGGTTCTAAATCCGTTACACTTTTCCTTTCCAAGTTTCTTGTCTTCAGCCACCGCAGAGCCGCTAATTTGGCCGCCATTTTGAATTCATCTGACACTTCTCGCTAGATGTCCCGTCCCGATTTAGCGCACACTCCAATGAAAATTATGCTGCACGGTTCCTGTTCAAGTAAAACAATGTCATTTCAATATTCTACACAGATATAATCATTTCCCTAATCGCAAAATCTTTGCAAAGCTAATCTACTTTTAAGTCAAACCGGGCTTCCTGTCCCTTCAAACCGCATATAAATGCTAAACTTTGCGCGATACGTCATAACTGTGTTACAGTAGTGCACAGGGGTAGACATCAGTGTTTGGGGTCCGTTTATTTTCTGCCTAACATGGGACGGGTCACCTTACCGTCACCTTCTTGCATGTCTTTTTTTTTCTTTCTTCTTTTTTTTACCTTTTTGTTTGCTGTTATTATGGGTTTTATAACATTTTTATTATCAGTTTTTAAGTGAAAAAATTTCGATGGTCCATTTGTGCCGCCTGTCAATTGACTCGTTTTGCATCGAAAGAACGCAAACCTTAGTCTTTGTATGGTTTCCGATCGTTTCGAATTGCAAGGGTTCTAAATCCGTTACACTTTTCCTTTCCAAGTTTCTTGTCTTCAGCCACCGCAGAGCCGCTAATTTGGCCGCCATTTTGAATTCATCTGACGCTTCTCACTAGACGTCCGTTCTCGACTTAGCGCACATTGCAATGAAAATTATGCTCCGCCGTTCCTGTTCAAGTAAAACAATAATTTCAATATTCTACGCAGATATAATCATATCCCTGATCGCAAAATCTTTGCAAAGCTACTCTACTGTGAAGTCTAACCGGGCTTCCTGTCCCTCCAAACATATAAGTACTAAACTTTGCGCGCTACGTCATAACCGTGTTACTAGTAGTGTACAGGGATAGAAATTTCCACATATATTTTTATATCTTTTTCAATGTTTTTATTACGGAAATTACTCAATAATTATTAACAAAGGTTTGCGCATGTATTTTGTACGATATACAAGCCCGCGTTATTTTCAAAGGCAAGATACAACAGGTCAGTCATATGATTGTCTCTTGAGCACGTACACCTACGGTCAAAGTTGTGTAACCTCGTGTTAGGTTATGGCGTGTACGACTCTTAACCCCCCGATGTTTATTAAGTTAATCGCGTATTTAAATATCGGTCTAAGTCATATAAACCGATGTACCTGTTGACCTTTTGACARCCATGCGTTGCCTTATATATCGTACTTTAATTGTCGTGAAACCGATTTCTGTGAAAGTCTTTTAGGAATGATATTTTATTGATTTTCTTATCGTTAATYATGAGGCAACACCTCTACCATATTCTCAGTTAATATAAGATAATTTTGACGTTTTTGACATAATGCAATTATAAGACAAATCCGCATAAAAACGGGCGCTCTGCAGATGTAATTTAGTGATATAGAAGGAAAGAGTTTTCCTTGAGTTGAACTACACTATTAAACGTCTTATCAAGCCTCTACCGTTGACTAGTCCTTTAATATTGGTGGCAGAACCCGGGCAAGGTAAGAAAACCTTCTCTATTATCTGTAACGGAGTGCGTACAT